GTTGTAGTTCCTAACGTTGGAGAATTTTTGGTTAACCTGAATCAGGTTATTTGTATCTATCAAAACCTAAACATCGAGAGTACAGTAGCAGTCAAGTTATCTTTAGGGTATTTTCAGAGTTCTGAAGAAAATGGGCTACAAAGAACTCCTAACTATATGCTTTATCACCATAAAGGATTTCTTGAGCATAGACGTCTGATAGCTATTTAGTCAATGCAATTCTGTTTTTAAATTATATTTAAATATTATAAGAGTTCTCAGTATAAATTTTGAAACAGCCATCGTTAGTATCCTCACATGTTGATTTGACTGGTATACTAATGTTTACCTTGCATGTGAAGGGAAAACTAAATGTGTAGATTGACGCTAATAACCTTTTCTCAGCTTTCTAAAGACAGACATCAATTTATATCTTATCACTAGGAGTTTCACCCGCACTAACCACACAGTTTTCAGTAGTCTCGTTTATGATTGTCAGCTTCCGTGTAAAAACGTTTTGGGAAATTAGTAATTCAAATTACGACAGGTCAGTGTTACTAATAATGCAGTACACTAATATACGGGTACTTTGCTTGCCTAGGTCTCCATGCAGATTTAAGACCTGGTTAGAAAGGTAACTTACTTTTGTTAGTCTTACGATTGTCAAATTTTCCTGTTATCTCTATGTCCGTTATCGTCGCAAGCATGTTCGGTACGCAGTTCTCACCCTCGAAATGCAACCTGTTGCTTCAAGATTGGGTTTCATCGGTACCTGAACTAATGATAGGTAGTAAAGTAGCCCGGTGTGCCGACCGCTTCACTTATCTTGGGAGTTCCATCAGCGCTGATGGCTTGGTGACTGACGAAATCTCAGCACGGATACAGAAAGTTCGATTATCTTTTGCCAACTTGCGTCATTTATGGCGTATGCGAGATACTCGTTTGCTAACCAAAGGTCAAGTGTACTTTGCAGCAGTTCGCTCCGTTCTCCTATATGGATTCGAAACATGGCCAGTAAGAGCTGAGGACATTCGTAGATTGTTAGTATTCGATTATATATGTCTTCGAAGCATTGCTCGTATATCGTGAGACAACCAAATAAGCATTACTGTCGTTAGGAAACGAGTACAAAGTAGCGATGGCAGATCAATAGATGAAGTGATGAAACTTCATCATTTGAGGTGGTTGGGACATGTGTTACTTATGGCTAACAACCGACTGCCTCGACGAGCTGTTTTGTGGTGTAGGAGTAGGTTGGAAGAAAGCTGGGGGCGGCCAGGCCAAAACGTGACACAAGTGGACTGAGTCATTTTGGTGAGTGTAGACTACCTGTTTGGGGTTCGCGAGACGAAAGTCATCGATGGCTAGACACCTTGAATGACATGGCTCAAAATCATTTGCAATGGCGCAGGTGCATCCACTCTTTGTGTTCTCTTAAATTTTAATCTTCTGAATTCATCAGCATCTCTGCCTTTGTAGTTCTAAACTTATCTCACTGAATTATACTTCTTGAATATTATATCCAAATACTAATCTCCATTATCAGTAATTCTTCTACTATCTCTACCACTATGGGATTTGTATTGACAAATGCGTCTCTGTGCTAATGTGGTTTGGCAACATGAACTGATGTACTTAATTACGAAGTTCTACATTGCAACTGACTGTTATCGTTGCAGAAATGCGGCAAACTTCCTAAATATTTGTATTTATTACCTAAATCTACGAATTCCTAGTGACATTGGAAACCATCTAAGATTTACTCCTTAACGCCCCCAAGATTTCGGTCAGAATATTAATTTTCTGCACACTTCCCATATTTCGAAAACTAGTTTAGTTGTTTCCAAAAACGCTGGTTGTCTGTAATAACCCCTTACTGCACTTCATAAATTCGATAGCAATAAGCAACTAAGTTAACGGTTATGATTATTTGATCCACTAAATCTCTAATTTATCTGATCAGAGTGGTCCTGTTTAGTCGAAATCAGAAATACATAACATCATATTTGTTTACAGACGTTTCGTAAACGGCAACGCGTTCGGATAAACGATATATATATATATATATATATATATATATATATATATATATTTGGATTCGTATTATTTCATGTCACCATATAGCTTTACATGGAACGTAGAAACATCAATGTGCGTTTTAACTAGTTTTTTTACGTCCATGCTTTAACTGATATCAGTATTTAAGAACCGTGTGATGGCATAGCTTAGAGTTGGTTATAATTAAGTTAACGGATTCACTCTATATGGTGTAAAGATCTTGACCGCTAAAATTCTTTCATGCACACTTTTTCATGCTATCTTTGAAGCACATTCCCAGTAGACTGGGTTTCTCTATCATTATCACTGCGATTATTCCCACTCTTCTGTCATCCATGTTCATTTTATAGTCGTAATGACTTGGTATGAAGACTTGAGTTAACTGGAATTCTTATCACCTGTTTATTTAATCCTGTTACCCCTAATGGAACATAGGCTGTCGACCAGCATTCGCCAACCTGCTCTGTCCTGGGCCCCTCTAGTTCTATCCGATTTTTGTTCGTTCTCCTCGTCTATCTCAATTTCTCGGCATAATATGCTCGTTGGTCTTCCTCTTCTCCTTTGGGCTTGGGGATTCCAAGTGAGGGCTTTTCTTGTGACGCAGTTGGTTGCTTTCTTCAATGTTTGTCCTATCCACTTCCAGCGCTTCCTAATTTCTTCCTCTGCTGAAATCTAGTTTTTTCTCCCCTACAGTAGATTGTCGCTGATGGTGTCAGGCCAACAGCTCCTCAGTATTTTGCATATATACCTGTTTATAATCACTCCTATCTTGTGGATGATTTTCGATGTTCTCCAAGTTTCACCTCCACACAATAGAACTGTTTTGGCGTTCGTATTAATAATTCTGACTTTTGTGTTTGTCAATAGTTGTTTTAAGTTTCAAATGGTCTTCAATTGTAGAAATGCTGCCCTTGTTTTGCCGATCCGCACCTTCATACCTCCATCAGATCCACCTTGCTCATTAATGAGGCTGTCCAGATATTTAAAGGTTCTGACATCTTCCAAAGCTCCATCAAGTGTGATTTGGCTGGTGCATGCTGTGTTGTATCTGATGATCTTGAGACTTACTTCTGCAGAGGCTGCTGCTACATTGACCCTCTTGTGCATTTGCCGTAGTGTGTGGGATAAGAGATCATTTGTGAAGTCCAAATCGTCCAGCTGCATCCAAGCTGTCTACTGTATCCCTTTTTCTTCTAAAATGTTGAGGTTTCTGTAATCACCTCGAGAAGAAAGAGAAAGATTGAAAGCAAACAACCTGGCATAACACCGGTCTTCACTCGGAATGAGTTTCTGAGCTGTGTTCCATGGACTATCTTGCAGTTTAATTCATCATAATAATTCCTTATGATATTGACTATCTTTTAAGGCACAGCAGCATCGAAGAAGCCTCCATGGTGTCATCCTATCCACGCTGTCGAATGCTTTCTCGTAGTCAAGGAAGTTGATGTACAGTGGTGAATTCCATCCAGTTGATTGTTCCACAATGGTCCGTATCGTCACGTGCGATTTGATCGGTACACGATCGATCCTTGTGGAATCCAGCCTTCTGATCTCGAAGTTGGGGGTGTAATATATCTTTCATTCGGCTTCACAACATGTCTAATACGTCCTAGTATTGAGACTAGAGTGATCTCTCTGTAGTTCCAACACTTGCTGGGATCTTTCTTTGGTATCTAGATGAGGTGTCCCTCTTTCCACTCTGTTGGTACGTGTTCTTCCTCTATGATTCTTCAAAACTTTTTATTGATGCAGATGTAGTCAATTTGGTTCTGTGTAGTGTGATCCGGGGAGACCTACGTAGCTTTGTGTATGCGTATGTGTAGGAATATCGTACCGCTGATGACCAGTCTGTTGAAGGTACATGGGTTTAAAAATCTCTCACCATTTTTGTTCCTTTCTCCTGGTCCATATCGTCCTATTGTCTTCATATCCAATGTTGTCCATCCCAACCTTGGCATTTAGGTCTCCCGTTAGAATGCTCGAGTCCTTTGTTGGGTATTTCTCGACGATTGACTGCAGTCTGCCGTAGAATTGATGCTTAACGTCCTCATTGTCATCGTTGGTAAGCGCGTAGCACTAGATGACATCCACTGTAACCCCTCTTTGTTTGAAGGAGGCTCTGATGGCCCTGCCTATTCAATCAGTGCTTTTTGTGCTTATTTGAACAGCACCAGCGGGAGGGACTTCTCTGACTAACATAACTTTTTCTGGTTTTATTTTCCCTAAGTACACCATTTCTCCCATTTTTTATTACTGCTGTTTGACTCTCATGCACAACTTTCCATTCGCTTTTTGTTATATACACTGTTAAATAAAATAGAGCAAAAAGATTGCTCAATAGTTATTATATTTCATAGATCTGACTCTGTTCGGATGAACAAAAATTCATTTTCTTGTATGTCAAGTATGATTCATGTCACATTGTGACTGCATTTTGTTCTGTTCATAAGTCACTGTAGAAACGTGGTTATTATGAATATAGATTGACAAGTTTCATATTATTTAATCTTAGCATATGTCCAGTGGTTGGTTCCCAACCTGTGTCAGCTTGAATAAAACCCAAAGCAGAAATGCCACCAACTGACCAGTTTTCAGGAATTACATTTCATTTAAACCTTCACAACAGGGATAAAATCATCTCGTACCCACTACTTATTTTAGGCGTGTTCAAATTTATGAATGGTTGTCAACCAGCTGACTACTTGACATCAAACGTTCTGTGTTTAGTTTGAAGCAACTCAGGTCAACTATCGCTTATAGCTATACTTCTGTTGTTTCCTAAACAAAGAGCTTGGGTTTCAAAAGTCGTTATTTCAGTCTTGGTACAAAATCTTTGTTGTAAGTGAACTTTTAACCTCTAAAATACTTGCGTTTTCATTGTATACTTCTATGTTAAAGCTGTATAATTTGACTCTTGTGTTTAGGACTAAAGAGCTCTCTTAGTTCATCATAGAACAAAACAAATGTTTTCAGTCTGTCGACAGTTTTATTTCAAGAAAATCATCTTACCCATCGGATATAAGAGAGCGCTTCATCATGGGTCAAAACAGACGAATGAAAAAGTAAAATTAAGAGAACCTTTCTCTGTTGTCCCTGGGAATTCGCCTAAAACCGCTTCGAATGGCGAGGACGCCTTCAGTTTTCTGAAGAATGGTAGGTTATTTGACTATAATATGGTTGTACTTAAAATTAGACGCCAACGTTTTTATCCATGGTGGCGCAGCGACACCTACAATACTTATTGCGGAATTTTATAACTATGTAATGGCTAAGAAGCTGAAGAATATAACGGCTTATCATATTCACACAGAAGGACCCTTCCCTATTATCAATCCTGAAGCAAGTGGTCATTTCCGATCCGTATCACTCTTTACAGGTATATGGAACGTAACCCTATTATCTTTCCACAGGCGGCAATTGCAGAGACCCAATCAAAAGTGGAAGAGCCGATTATGTTCCAATATTTCTAAGTGAAATTCCATTCCTTTTTCGCAGAGGTTTAATAAAGCTGGACTTAGCATTACTGAACGTCAGTCCTCCAGATGTTAACGGGTATTGTTCTCTTGGTCCAAGTGTAGATATTACCCGTTCTGCTATTGAGTCTGCTAAATATCTCGTTGGTAGGTTTTCATTATTTAGCTATGACGTTTTAAGGTCAAATAAATCCAAGTTTACCGGTCACTTCAGGAGATGCCCATGTACACATAAGTAACTTCACGTCAGTTATCCATGGAGATATGGTTTGTCACTATATGGAGCCGCGACAAATGACCGAGGTTGAAGATAAGATTGGAGCATTAATTGCGGATAATCTGATAGATGATGGTGCTACTCTACAAACAGGTAGGTAAATCCTTTACAATAGCACTGCTTAAAGTCTTTAATCTTATTAATTTGAAACGTTTTGGGATATGCTCTCGTAGTAGGACGTAGACCCTTTTTTCTGTCTTAACAATGTAACTGAATTAGCAGGTAGATGTGAATTCGTACATACAGTTGGCATTAACATGAAAAGGATGCCTATCGATGTTTGATCAGAATATAAACATATTGTTTTAAACAAGATAAACAGCTTGCTTGCATGACAAGTTTAAGTCAATTTAGTTTTTAATTTTCATTTTATTGTCGCTGTAATATCACACCTTCATTATATAGTCAGTTAATTATTATAGCTCAATGATCTCTCAGTACAATGTCTTAAGATCCTGAATCTTCTTTCACATAATAAATTTATTTACAACTTTTTGTCGTCGATCTCATTACTCCACCATAATGATGCATGTCCTTTTTTACCGTTATAAGTATGTAAACTTTACAATAATATTGATTTTTTAAAATATTGTAGGTTGTAAGTAGCTAATGATAACCTTAAGAAATAAAATGGACTCATAATATTCTACCCAACTGTTTGTTCTTGCTCTGCCCAAAATAAGAATTTTCGACTGATAAACTGGATATTGAATTAAAGCAAAACGATAAACATGAATTCATTTTATTTCAGAGTTTATCATCAGCTGCTTACAACATAAGTACATTAGTATTAATCATTCAAAACTACTGTGCATACTTTATTTCATAATGTCGGAAAAGTTCTCATCAGAGTCGATTACTGAAAAGAGCAGTAAGTATGAATTAACGAAAAAAGATAACATTTATATGATAAATGGTGTAAATATTTATAGGTTGAATATAAAAATATTCTGGAGTAAACAACAACTTTATAGTGGTTATGATGTTGATGTCTCAAAACTCTTCAAGATAATTAATAAACAAAGAACATCAGGTTTGGTACGGTTTGCTGAAGCGATTGCTGTAAGAATTAAATTAAATTTATGCATTTAAACAAAATCAGTTATCAATCTTGCCTTCATAAACGTTTGTTACGTAATTTTTTCGTTCCTTGACTTTAGTTATTAATTCTCACTTATCTGATCTGTACTTAGTCAATTTTTTTAAGTCACATAACCATAAAAATCAATATCTTATTTTTAAATAATTCTGTTTTTAGTCGTTTATCCCAGAATATTCTTACTATCCAGCTTATAAATATTATTTGTTATTATTATTATTTATTACTTAGCATATAAATGTTATCTCTTTTGGCCGTTTCATACTTATTGCTCTTTTCAGTAATCGACTCTGATGAGAACTTTTCCGACATTATGAAATAAAGTATGCACAGTAGTTTTGAATGATTAATACTAATGTACTTATGTTGTAAGCAGCTGATGATAAACTCTGAAATAAAATGAATTCATGTTATTCTACTACGTTTATTGCTTTTTATTCATAGAAAAAAATTGAATGAATTGTGGCTGTTTGAATCTGGCTACCATAATTAAGAAATTCTTTCGATCCCACTAGAAGTCTGATGATGTTCGGTTGAAATAACTCAATTCAAACATTTCCAATATGATATTATTTATGGTATTTTGGTGTCTACCAATGAAACTTAATAACTTTTCAACCACAAAGGTTTTTACAGTATATGTTATTGGAAAATACTCATTGGATGTAGATATTCCTCATAAACAACTTAGAACTCGACACAAATATAAATCGATCCAATTTGTAATAATTTGCATCAACACCAGGTGGAAAGTAATTAGATTAGAATAACATAAGCAAAGGATACTGTTTTCAGTTAGACTGTCATCAGGCTTTTCTCATATACATGACTATTTATTTGCAAATATCAAACCGATCAAGGCCATTTATGAATCGATAATCACAACCAAACAGGTAAAAGTACAAGTCGGTAGCAAGAAGACAGATGTTTTAGTAGTGATAAGAATAACAAAAGTTCCGTTTTCATCATTCTTATCACTACTAGCACACCTGCCTTCTTACCACCACCTTGTACTTTTGCTTATTACAAGTCGTTGATTAATTTATGTCATGTTCATTGGCTCTAATTGTCTTGTCTGGTTTAATAATCAGTATCCATGTATGAGAGTCAAGCATAATGACAATCTAACTGAAGATAGTATCATCCGTTTATGTGTGGTTCCAATTTTCACAATGGAAATCCTTAATAAATAAATAATATTACAATCGTCACATAATTACCTAAATAGCTAGTTGTAATAACGATTAAAGAAAAACATCTCAAACTAGTATATATTTAAAACAATTAGTCCCTTTTATAAATTTTGATAGAACAGTGAGAAGACGTAATTGATCTGAAAAATGTTGATATATTTGCGCTATACATTTCGAACAATCTGGTCACACATATTTATTTGTCAAGGCATTTTATATGAAGATGAATAAAAGGTCAATTAAATAAAAGTTCAAATAGACATAGGGTGATAATTGTAAATAAAGAAAGAGAGAAAATTAACGTAATATGAAAAGAATAAGAAGGGGTAGGAAAATTGTCACATTACCCTAGGCTTAAAGATTACCAAGGTAAATTCAAGGTTATGACAAATTGTTTCTGCACACATAAAGGGAGTTTTAATTTTCTAATAGCCAAGGCCTCCATAAACCTCAAAATTCGTCCTTCAACATTTCTATACAATGTTTTGAAGGCTGTCTTGATGTCAATCTTATGCCCTGTCTCAATTATGTGTTTGGCGATCGATGAACATGGTTTTCTATTTCCAACGTTAATCGGCTCATCTGACGTTAACTGATTTTGAAGCCACTTAGGTACATGTTCCACAACCCTTGATTGCAAAGTCCGATTACTCCTCCCTATGTATGTGTGTCCACACAAACATGTAAATTGATAAATACAATGGGATGTGATGTAATCATTAGAGCAACGTTTAGGTATATGCGAAATCATGGACTTGGTCTTTTCAATGATAATCAGTTTAGCAGCGTTGTATGTTTTCTCTATGGCTGCTTTTAGTCTCTGTCTTATTATTAGACCATTTGCTTCACCTCTAAATGGTAAAGTGATATAAACCTTTTTCTTTTCAGCAGAATCAAACACTTGCTTTTGTCTTAACTGATCTCTACACCTATTGATAAACTTTAGCGGATAGCCATTTGAAATCAATGCTTCAGTTAAGAATTTTGCATCGTCGTCAAATGTATCCGTGGTGCAAATCTTTTGTGCCCTATTGAAGAGGCATTTTACTAAACCTCGCTTGTGTTGCAGTGGACAAAAACTGTTGAAATTTAGGTACTGTCCAGTCCACGTCGGCTTTCTATAAACAGATCGCTTTATAGTTCCATTATCTCTTCGGCTCAACAATATGTCTAAGAAAGGCAACCGATTATTATTTTCTGGTTCATGAGTTAATACAATATCATTCTGAAGACTATTGAAGTTTTCCAGTAACTGGGAGACGTTAAATTCTTTATCACATATAATTAAGATATCGTCCATATATCTCCTATAGAGAGTAAGCTTATTAATGTGCTCATTCCACAAATTTTCAGCATATGCCATGTAAACATCGGCTAAGAGAGGTCCCAAAGGACTACCCATAGCAACGCCATCAACTTGCTGGAAATGTTCATCATCAAACGTGAAATGAACTTTCTCAGTACATAATAAAATTAATTCTCTTAGTAGACTTGACTGAATGGGAAAAAGGGGGAAATTACTTAATATCTAATCACAAAGAAAGTTAACAGTTTTCATTAGGGGAACATTGGTAAAAAGAGAGTTTACATCAAAAGAATGCATAGTCTTTTCTTTAATATTAATGTCATCAAGAACACCTATCAGTTCAAATGTATCTTTCAGGGAAAACTTACACAATTTATTACGAATTGGGCTAAGTAATTTAGCTAACCATTTGGCTAGCTTATGTGTAGGTGATCCACACATAGATAATATTGGTCTCAGTGGAGTGTTCGGTTTATGAATTTTGGGTAATCCATATAAGTTCGGTAGTACAGATCCGGTGGGTTTTAACATATTAAATTCATCTTTATTGATAACCTTCATGTTAAGTAGCTTTATTAGATTGGAGTTAACTCGCGATTCTAATTTTCTAACCTCATTATTAGATGAAACATTAGCCAAAAACTTTCTTTCATCACTAAGGATGGATAACATTTTCTTCTTGTAATCACATTTATTCATTACCACTACTCCAGATCCTTTGTCAGGTTTGAGAATTACAATATCTGATCTTTTACGGAGGTCCCTTAAGGCAACGAAATGTTTTGATGTTGAAATATTCCTGTGTCTTATTTTGGCACCATGAAATTGGTGAGCGATATCAACCAATTTCGCCTTCAACCAGTTTTGATTATCTTGAGTGGTTGGGACAAGAGGGTTCAATTGAGTAAAGAGATTTTCAAACTGGGCGTCAATCGAGAAGTTAGAAGTTTCGGCATGAGGCATGGAAAAGTTAAATCCGAGAGATAGAGCTTCTTTTTCATATACAGAAAGTTCAACGGATGATAAATTTGTTACATACTTATCCGGGTTAAACTGTAAAGAATTTCCGCGATTATCAATAATGAGGGACTTGTCCAACTTTTGCCTCGTAGTATATTTCGTTTTAGAGACCACCGAACTGCAAAAGTTCATAAATTTAATATGACATACGATAGAAACATTCGATAATACACATGATGCACGTGTTTGAAGTTCAATTAGCTTACATATCATTTCACTACATTTTTCCACATGAGATTTCGTGAGACGAAGGAGATTAGAGATATTCTGAATTAATTTATTAGATCGTAAGAATTTATAAAATTGTCTGGGAAATATATGTGTAGTAAGGCACGATTTGTAAAAGTCCAGCTTTACCTTTTCAAAAGCGATTTTGCATTTAACAGTAGCAAGTTCATCTATATGTATTTAATATATATATGTATATATGTATATATTTAATAATACAATCAGTCGTAGTAGTCAATAAATTCAATTTCATTATTTGGATATCTATTCTATCAGGATGTAATGCTTCTCATTTTTGCAGTAAACTTACTCATAACATTTGTTTCCCATAGATTTTTTTTGCGAAATTCTTTTATCGCTTTTGCTCTCTAGGTATTGGAGCAATTCCAGATTCAGTCTTAGCTAAGCTTTCCAACCGTCGAAACTTAGGAGTTCATACCGAAATGTTCTCAGATGGTATTGTTAAACTAGTTGAATCTGGTGTTATAACAAATACAAATAAGATCGTTCGCCCAGGGAAAGTTGTCACGAGCTTTGTCATTGGTACAGAAAAAGTTTTCAAATTTTTAGATAATAACCCATTTATTGGTGAGTTTTTGTAGTTATTTTTTGAATTATTTTTATGAAGTAGTTCAGCAAAATTTTATCTGACAGTATTCGATATACTAACTGTTTTAGAATATTCATCAAACTAAAACGAAGAATACAAGACTGCCACCTAATGCTTCCAGCTTTTCAATGGTTGTCTAACTTTAAATCCCTTTGTGATTTCAATGAAATTAGTAATTTTCTCTTATTTTATGAATAATCCTAAATCCGCATACTATGATTTTGAACGATGTATTTGCCGTATTCCTTGCCACTTTTTAGATTATTAATTTGAATAAATAACTGTAGAACGTAAAGAAAATTTGTTGGAAAGGAAATTCCCAGTTCAGCGATCAGTGTTTTAATATACTCTTTAGATTATCATGAGACATTGTTTAAGGTTTTACCTTTTGTTTGGTCGTTAATTAGACCAAGTCAGATTTCTTTAATATTTCTATTGTTCATTATCTGTATAATTCTATCTTGTACATATTTTGAAAAAACACTTCTTTCTAATTTCCTTAAACTCATGAAAAGGAAACACATCATTATGGTTCATAGTCAAGTTTTCAAAATCTACTTATTAACAACTTGTAACCACTTCGGAAAATAAATCACATATTGGCACCTAAACTGATAAAATCATAAGAACTTACCATATATTATTCAGCTGTTTTTCTATGCTTCTCTTATCTATTTTCTTTTTACATACTCTTTTAAGTTGAAACAAATTCTGTCTGAAAAGAATGCATTCTCTTGGTGTCGAACTGCCTATATCGATCAATTTTGATTGTGATTTGAGGGTTTTGTCGAAAGTTCTATTCATCCTTCCTGGTTCTTTTGTTATGTATCCACTAGAATAATCTAAACCAGACCAAGAATCCGATCGGTGAAGTTCCGAATCGATCACCACCACCATTAAAAACCTGAAAGTACTGGAGAGCCATATTGTCCTAGTACGGGACTCATCAGCAGTGTGCTTTCATGATACCGCGAGCGGGAATCAAACCCCAGGACATTCGATCTCGCGTGCGAACACTTAACCTCTGGAGCACTGAGCCGGTATCCCACGGTGTTAATGTATGCATTTGATCAATTCACGATATTGCGCGAATTTTGTTGATTTTCGGTTGAAGCTTCGATTCAGAGCTCCACTTAGATTTCTTCTAACTAAGCAATCTAAATCTGATAGCTCATCGTGTTGGTTCCGATTTTCGTAAGTGAATTTAATAGGAGATGAGGGAATATCGTTCAGTTCAAAAGGAGTTCACACGAAAGTCTTTTTTATGACGACAAAGCTGTATCGTCATCCTATCTGAGTTAAATTCTTGGTTTAATGTCATTGGTGAGAATGTTTAATTCCACGTGTGACATAAATAAGTAGACTACAGTTGGGAACACGAGAGATCCAATTACTTTGTTTGTAGATCTAAATGAAGGAAGATTGTCTAGCTTTGTTTTTTTTCAACTAGAGCTCACGTCTAACCGCAGTTTATCGTAATTTACATTTATCAAGGGTTTTACGTAGAACTTCCGTAAAGTGAATTAATGTATAACCTTCATTGAAAACTAAGTTTGTTTGACCAGTTACTTTCATCTGGAGATCTTAACAATTCGAAGCAGCAGCTGAGAACCAGTAATCCTTAGTAGGAGAACTAGGACATTTTATTGGAGGACAGACAATGTATGAAGTAAGTGTAATCATATACAGCTAGAGAAGAGAGAACAAAAACAGATAACACAGAAAACACCAGAAATTCCTGCGATAGGTTTATCATTATATATATATGCTAAGTTGTTCTATGACCTATTAATTAGCATAGATGTTATTTAAATTGATCAAACTAACCAGGCTGTATTCTCAGTGTAAAATATACACAAGTAGTTTCATCGACAAATTGTGTCAAACTATTACCACACAACAAAAGTCTGTATACATAATACTTGTCTCTCTTTGCTCAGTAGCCAGTCACATCTTACTTTTTCTAACCACATTAATATTCTCAATTTTCTAACCTGTAATTCATGGTTTCTATTTTTCGCAGAATTTCGTGATGTAGCTTGGGTTAATTCACCTTATGTAATAGCCCGAAACCCTAAACCAGTTGCCATCAATTCCTGTGTCGAAGTTGACCTCACTGGTCAGATTGTATCCGATTCTATTGGTAGTAGAATCTACTCAGGTAAATTTAAGGCCCACAATGTTCTATCCTTTTTAACTGTATTTCTTTTTCTCACTGATATAAGTCATCAACCTATTTAAGTCACATTGATATAACCCAGTATAGACTTCCTGCAATTTTCGGTTTAATAACACTTTGAATTTTCATGTGCTCACCAGTGACTAATTTCGATGTGATTCCGTAATTCTAGTGAGAATCCGTGACCAGTGGATGTACGGTGTGAGGAAGCTCGCCATGCAGTCAAAAATCCTGAGATCGATGCATAGTAGGGTCGTGAATGGGCACTCTTAAGTAGTTTTATACCAGAATGAAATAGTTGTCCAGTGCACTCTAGTTTTAAAAAGACGTCTAACGTAGGTGTGTTCATAGTGTCAATAAAGCTTAACATTCTCTACCAACCCCTTTTACTGATGATCACACACTTTTAGTTATCTCGAACGAAGCAGAAATTCATCTTATTCAGCAAATCTGATTGTTCTCGCTCTCTTCAAAATTTTACAGCATTCCAATGTATACAACTGATTAACCACAGGTTAATGATCAATGTCACGTTCCCCTGGTCCTTCAGGGGTGACAGGATTTTGTCAGTTAAGTTGCAAAATAATCACAACTAATGTGAGTGACCTGTCATCGCATGTACTACTGTTTTGAGGTATAAGATAGTTAAAAGTGACTGATAAGGAACTCTAAATTGTAATCTTGAATATTTCCTTTCAAATACCTTTAATCACGTAACACTAATATTTCCATGAACCATAGTTTGTATTGTTTGTAAGGATAAAGAATTCTTTTGAATTGTCACTATCACTTTCTGTGTAATCTTATTTTATTACTGAATTATTATTACTTAACGGTAAAGATTTAACCTTGCGATGCACTTCGATTTTATCTGCAGTAATCTAGATTGGTTTTTCATTGTTACAAGTGATGGCTTAATGGTTATTGCACTCGATTTTCTGCCAATAGGTCCCAGGTCTGAACCCTACTTCACCTACTATCGTTTGATCAGCTAGATGGTATCATCAACCCTTACATAAACTGTGTGGATCAAAGCCGATTGTTTCTTAAGAAATAGTAGTCAACCTTCAATACGTATACAGTAATCTCAATAGAACTCTACTGATATTAAATAGTATTAATTTTTGTTCGATAAATTTTGATTGTTTTGTTTATCTATAAATACTTTGATATTTCTCAGTGTTGTACACTTACGATAGCTGGTTTTAGTCTATGATAAAAATTATCCTCAAATTTTTCACATCTCCATTAATCGCTTAACTAAATAATGAGCCGAATTTTTCAAACGGGATTTACTACAAGCAGTTTGCCAAATTTAAAATATCTCTCAGTACTGTTTTTAACATTTCATTCGACTTGTGATTACTAAGAAATTATTTATGTATGTGATAATTTCATTGGAATTTTGTCTCAATATGCTACTGATAATTGACTTCATGCCAAAGTATCCATAATATCTTGATTTATTTTCATTGAAGGATTTGGTGGTCAGGTTGACTTTATCCACGGAGCCGCAATAGCTGAAGATGGTCAAGGCAAACCTATAATTGCTCTTCCATCTTCAACAAAACGTGGTGAAAGTAAAATTTGTTCACATATTAAACCTGGTGCTGGTGTTGTAACGTCTCGAGCCCATGCTCATTATGTTGTCACAGAATATGGTATCGCCTATTTGTTTGGACGTAGTTTAAGGCAACGTGCACATGCTCTTATTCAAATTGCTCATCCAGATCACAGGTAATCAAATTGTACTTCTTTTTCATATAGATACTTGTTTATTGTATCTTGATAAATGTTTTGGCCTTAGATTGGTCTCTGCTATAGAACTCTTCTGATATCCAGATACTTTGAGTGGTAAAACACGAAGATATCGTGCCACTCTTCATTGAAGTCCATTCTCTTTAGCGGTGTACTGAGAACAATCACACATAGTATTCCAATGAATTGCCTGGCGTGCTGTTTTTATTTAAAAAGATATTGAAGGTTTCATGAATAAACCATTCGTTTCAGAAAATATTCAATCATACTGTCAGCAGTGAAAAAGTGTGGTAGTAATTAACACTAATTTAACTTCCTAAGAAAGTATGAATCTTGCCAAGGTTAAAAATATAAGTCTGATTGATTTGTATCAGATGTATGGAGAAATTATCATCATCAACCCTAATTTTAGGATTATGAATTCCATAATGACAATCATATTTGGTCAGGTGTGCACATTTTGTTTTTATTTTTTTAAAATAAAGAAGAAACGTTCTCATACAAATTCATTGTTATCATTTAACTAGCGCCGTCCATGATTTCTTTTTCTCATTTCTAATCGACTCATGTATCTTTTCTTCTTTTACAAAATCATAGAGAAGCATTAGAAAAGGCATCATTCGAACAACTCAAAGTAATGCCATCACCTGATTGAAAAAAAGCCACCTAATTTTCAAGAAGTATACAGACAAACGAAGATGAATGCAACAAAATAAATAATGAGATTCCCACAAACATGCTATTACTAATTTGTATACTATTACAATATTGTAACTAAAAATCTTCACAAAACATTATTTTAAGTCAGTTAACATCTATTCTGCAATATTTTCATTAACGGATTTCATGAATTTAAACACTTTCTGATTTATATCTGATTTATGCATGCTGATATTGGCTTAAATTATTTTATTGTTTAATCCTCATATATTCTTTGTAATTGGTATTTTGATTTTTGTGTGGAGATCAAAGGAAGTAGGAAACAAGTTCAAAAAAAATCGTGGACTATGTAAACTCAAAAATAAAACTTGGAAGCAGTGGACAGCTGTTTCGTCCTAATACTTGTCAAGGATCGAATCCTGAACCTTAAGGCCTTTTAGTACGAACTTAACTTCTAAACCATTGAGATGACGCATAACGATGTACTATAAATAGAAATGGACAGTGTCCAATCAATCAATCACTAGCAACGTAGAACTTCGTACGTACGTACGTACATCAGTCCATGTTGCCATACCACATATGCACAGAGATGTAATCCAAATCTCATAGCAGTAGAGGTAGTAGAAGTATGAACAGTAATCGGAAAGATTAGGACCCGCTGCTCGCCCTTGCTTCAGATTTCCTATCGCTTTCACAACTTCATAAAAAGTCGGACAACTTCGATTTGCCGTTCAAGATGAATGGAGCTGAAATGTGACCGAGGGTCAATTGAATTGATCCGTAAAGTGTTCTACCCATCCATACAATCTCCTGAATTGAGAATGAATAATAAGACCATCTTTTTCTGAAGTAGTCTCACTCACACGTGGGTTCCTAATACAGGTTTCCTTGATGAGTCTGAATTGTTGCCTACTGTTGCCGAACCCCTCCATCGGTGGCTGATGGCAATGTGATCTAGTTGAGCCCATCGTTGGGTCGACTTTAGGGGTCACCAGGTCAAAAGCTGTTTTTCCTTCTGCCTAAAGTTAGTGTTTGATAGAAATAGGCGGTTATCTGAACACAGTTGTAGCACAGTTGCGACAGACGGTCTCCATTATCTGTTTTGTTAGCCGCGACACCATAAGATCCATCCAGGCGTCTTTCCTTTTCACCGAGTTTACCTACGTGAACATTAGTCACCAGCCACTACTACTATATCAGAGCGCCTAACCTTTTGGAGGAGGTCCGAAAGCCTCCCATAGAATTCATCTTTCTTCTCGTCTGAACTGCAGTCAGTGGGAGCGTAGGCAGAGGCAACGGCGAATGTCCCTATCGTTCTGAGTCCGTACCGTCCCGTTTAGGTCAACAGCGCACAGGCGACTGTCTACCAGGTTCCAGTCTGAAAGTGCTAATTCTGCTCGACGAGGCAGCATCAGGGCTACCTGAAACACGAAACGTAAACCATGTTGTCTCTCTATCTGCGCTATGTGAAATCAAATTGATGATTTTACTTGGATCTTGTATGCGCGTTTCAGAGACACAACATACACCGATTGCCCGGGATTCCAGAGTTCTAGCAAACGAAGCCTGTTGCCCTATTTGGCATAGGGTTAGAACATTAAAAGCTTCTATGTGTAATTTAGTACGGGGTTTCAAGAGAACTGGAATAACGTTTCGGGAGCTCAAACCGTCTGCTTCAGTGGCGCGAGGTGATAAACGATCGAAGGAAGAGCTAATCGAGGAGGTAAGAGAATTATTAAGAGGTGTAGGTTGTGATGAATTTGGTCTGGTGTGTTTATATGGGTATGAGTGCGGATTTTACTACTTCCCGGCTGCCCACACCGTGAAAGGGTTCTGGTTGTCAGAATAGTGTATATCAGTGGAATCCAGGACGCGCGTTTTGTCCTATTCAGGACTTGTCAGCTGGATGTACCTGCATCCTGGAGTTTATGTTCACTCCGGGACTAGAACACGTCGCGTTCTTAACTTAACTACGGAGTCCAGACAGCCTTAAAATTCACCTCTTTGCACAAGCCAGTGCCTAAACGGAATCAGTAACCAAGTGGATAAGGCAATGACGTTTGGAGCGTAAGGTACTGAGTCCGAGTCACAAAGTGAACATCAATTCCGGGATGCAGGTAAATCTAGCTGACGAGTCCCGAATAGGACAAAACGCGCTACCTGGATTCCACTACTAGCCACTCAGGACATGGTTGAATCCCACTGGTCATAGGTTTACAAGAACACTGGAAATTACCTGAAGTTATATACTAGTAACCACGCGATGATCTCTAAGTATATGTTGTGAGGATTATGAGATTTGTAGTTTTATATAACGAATTTACTGCAACTAGAAAGCGACCTAAGTGTGGATTTAAACTCAGTAGTCTAAATGTTAATAGCACACCCCTAAATCAAAAGGTTTTGAATTCAAGCCTTAGAATGGTCACCATTGCGTACTTCTGTGGAGTGCAACGCCCTTTAGGTTTCAACAATATCAAAACTGATGTGACACGTTGACTGTAGTCACCAACACATCGTAATTGTTTGTATGCATAGATTAGAATATTTTTATTATTTGCTCCTACAGAACTCCGTTGTAAATACACTAGACCACTAATTTAACATTGTCTATTATTCTTCATGATACAGAAAAAAGATGTTTCATCGAATATTTTAATACCCGTAGTAAAATGGTATTTCTTAAAAATGGCTGAATTAAGTTTTAGAGTTAAAAAAACACTTTATACAAAACTGTTGATATAAACTAGTGAGTTGTTAAAGAAATGCTTTCTTTCGAGATATGGTTTTATGATATTTTAAGACTTAGGTAACTTAGTCCAATCTCCTAGAAATCCTCTACTGAATTTGTGCTAGTTGGCATAGGTCAACAGGGCTTATCTACAGTTTTGTGCGAAGATACTGAAGATAATGACTTTGAGCTATTCAACCTAAAGCTAACTTTTTGTAGATCCGTTACTCAATACGAGACTAACTGATCTATTCGCTCTTGCTGAAAGCATTAAACAAATATGATCAAAATTCTGTGGGAGTTTTACTTGATCAGTTATTCAAATTCACATTATCATCATGTAATGAACACTTTACTGATCATCATCTATACAGGTATTTCCACCTAGTAGTTACTGTAATTTTGTTTCATAAATGTTTAAATTGTAATTTTTGAATCGAAAATATCAAATCATACTAAAATTTCAATCCATGGATCTTATTAGAGTAAATATATTATCTCACATACATTATGAAAATATTCAGTAAATTAAAACCTTGCTTTAACGGATATCCCATTTTGTAATACATCATTTCGTGAGGAGTGAGACAGTGTATTGATGAAATGTTGATTAAAACATCTACATTAAAATGATAAACTGCTACTTCGTGACTGTAATATGGTCAGTTACATGGACGGCATCAAGAATTTTATCATTTTTATTCATTAATCTCATTTCTTCAGAAACTCGTTTCATACATTTGTGGTATCGTGTAACATTCAGTGATTGGAACTTCTTGTCCCATTTTTGTGGATTACGAGACATTGATGAGGATGATTAATTATTTTCAACCACTACTGCCAAACCTCGAAGAATACTTGAAAATGAATAAAAACTTGACGGACATTAGATTCTAGTTAAGGACTTTAAAAAATGAAAGCTCAAGCCCTTGAGCTTCGTTAAGTGCATTTCAACGCACAAAACCATCACTAGATTCCGATCTTATGATTTTTGGATACTCGATTTATGGTGTAACCGTTCTTCATCTATACTGGCTACACCCCACTCTCATTCCGCAAGAGACCAATCATACTTGATCATCTGACAGTTAATCTAAAAGTTAAATTGTAGGAAATTGTTTTATTTTATTGTTTACGTAATGGGGAAACCGATGTTAAGTACCTATTAGACGGTTTATGGTTTTTAATTGTTTCACTGCCGATAATAATTTAAGTGAAAACTGTGCAAAACAAGTCGATTGATTCCGTGAATAGGCTTATTTTATTACATTAGTAGTTAACAATTTTTGTTTGGTTAAACTATGTTTCTTGAGAATTGAGTATTTGGAAATGAAATTTCCCAAATAACACTTCAAAGAAATCTCCTTTTATTTAATTTTGTGTATACCAGTTTAACTAACACCCAAAAATGTAAAATATATCCTGATCTAGCTCATATATTTACTTATTTACACTGAAAATCAATAGCGAAACGATAAAATTGACTACCTCAATATCGAAATGTTTACAAACATAGGCTAAAAAATAGCTGATCACTACAGTGGAATACTTAAAACCTTAAATCGTTTGAACCAAGTATATAATTAGATTAATTTGATGACCGAATAAATGAGGCAGTAAAAAATATGAAATGATTTAGGTTAGCTTTCTACCATCTTCTCTAACAATAGCAACTTGAGCAATAATTTACCGTTTGAGGGTAAGATAATTTTACTTCTATGATAGTGGATACCAATGGATTGTAATCTGTCAACCAAAAACTGAGCTGAGTAATTTTGAAGATTTACAATAATTTCTAGATTACACTGATAACCATAATACAAACTCCCGAATAAATAGTAATATCTCAACCATCCGTTTAAGACGCAAATATGTAAATAGAGACTGATTAACGTCAGTTTTAAATATCAACAACTGGAACAGACTCACTCCCGCAAATACTATTATAGAGTAAGACGGTTGGAAAATTGAATTGAAACAGATTAACTCTAGCCATTTGATTAGAGCAAACTCATAATTCAGCTTCATTTGACAACAGCTATGTGTTTTCATCTCTTAAACTGTTAAGTCTATTTTCTTATACCGGGTGACTGTAATCTCTAGTAATCGCCAATTATTACTCATCCCGAATTATTTTCCGGATTATTTTCAGTTTCTATATTCTTATAGATTATATATTTCGTCTAGATTTATCATCTTAATGAAACTACTTTCATAATCCTAATCTAGTTTCTTTTGGACTACTGATTAGATTTTGGCTA